GGACCGGGGCCACGAGAAGTCGGACCGGGGCCACGAGAAGTCGGACCGGGGCCACGAGAAGTCGGACCGGGGCCACGAGAAGTCGGACCGGGGCCACGAGAAGTCGGACCGAGACCGAGAGCGTGGTTATGACAAAGTGGACAGAGAGAGAGAGCGGGACAGGGATCGGGACCGGGACCGGGGGTACGACAAGTCGGACCGGGAAGAGAGCAAGGAGCGGCGCCATCACCGCCGGGAAGAGCTGGCCCCCTACCCCAAGAGCAAGAAGGGTAAGCTGGGCAGCAGGGCCAGGACTCAGGCAGGTGGGGCGCCATGGGCGTGCCACGTGGGGGAGGCCCTCACTTTGCTCCCACGATGGCCTGAACCCGGGGCCTGGGGCACGGTGCTGCGGGCCACACAGACATGTGCTCCCTTTCTTCCTGGGATGGGGAGCTTGGTGATCGGGGCTCCTTGTGCCTCTACCGAAAACCGCACTCTGCCACCTTCTTCCTCAGTGGCGAGCCGGAAGGACGAAGAGTTAGACCCTATGGACCCCAGCTCATACTCGGATGCACCCCGGTAAATGCGAACCCCTCACGAGCCCTTCCCTTTGCTCATGACTCCCTTGCGCCGGTGACCATTCTTTTCCTCCTATCTCCTTCCCCCATTTGTCAGTTGTTGGAGTAGAGGGGAGGAGGGGAGGGGGGAGAGTGGGGAGAGTGGGGAGTGCCTACCACATCCCATATTCTCAAGCCCTGACCCCTATTTCCTAACCTCCGTCTCACCCCCAGGGGCACATGGTCAACAGGACTCCCCAAGCGGAATGAGGCCAAGACGGGCGCAGACACCACAGCAGCAGGGCCCCTCTTCCAGCAGCGCCCCTACCCGTCCCCGGGGGCTGTGCTCCGGGCCAACGCCGAGGCCTCCCGAACCAAGCAACAAGACTGAGCCTTCCTGCCACGCCACCCCCACCGCCCCCGGGGGTTTTTAATAAAAGCTTTTCGATGGATCGATGGATCGTGCCCATGAGGCCTGAGTGCTTCCTTCCCATGCGCTTTTGAGGCTTCCCAACCCAAGCCGGCAAGATGCGAAACACATTTTATTTGCAAAAACTCACCTAAGAAAGTGCGGGAGTGGCAAGGATATGGGGGCGACGGGGGCTGGAGGCCAAGATGGGTCCTGTCCATGCCCTCGTTACCAGAGCTTGGGTGTGTCGTCCCCCCCCCCCGGTGTGGGAGTGGGGTGGGGGGGCCAGGTTGGGGGTTCAGTGTCTACCTCCCCCCACCCCTAATACTGATCAGAATTTGGTCCTGGTTGGGCCAGGGCAAGAGGGGAGGAGGCGGCCAGGCCAGCGTCTTCGATCCCAGCAGCTACGAACCCTTCACCTTGGTGAGCAACCTGTGGTGGGAATGGGGAGGAAGAGAGAAACACAGACGGCTGGGGTGGGCTGGCAGGTGGGCGTCCTGAGCAAAAGCGAGGGCGGCAGTTATGAGGCTGGTAGTCCTGGGGTTAGTAACAGAGCCCACGCAGACAGTGAGTCCCCTGGGTCAGAAAGCTACACGTGGACTAAATAAATACAACATCTTTATTTGGCATTGGGTCTCCTGACATTTGTTCATTACAGTTCCTTAGAAAACAAACCAAAAAAATCAGAACTTAATCAAAAATAAAGATCCAACGACCCTATTTACATAGAGCAAAGACAGCCCAGGCATCTCCGACGCGTGCGTGTGCGCACTCACACACAAACGCACGCATGCACACGCGCGCGTACACACACACACATCCTGGGAGACAGTTAAGGGGTTAATAAGCTTTGGGGAGTGCAGGGGGCAGGTTCCACATTTCAGCGATTTTAAGACACCCTCACCCTATCACAGAGTAAGGGTGCCTCATCCAGCCAGTGCGTTATCAAGAGTGTGGTTGGCAGCTTTATTTTCCCTCTCGGGATGTCTCGGAAAAGAACCCTGCATCCAGCATCTGACAGTGTCTTAGATTCAGTGAGATTCAAGCCACTCCAAGGACCTCTCCCACCTGCCCCCCCCCCCCCCCCCCCCGGCACCCTGGATCATTAATTATCTGATTATACCACAAATTCCCAAACCACTAAAAAACAGATGGCCCCTACCGCACCCTCCCCTGGACTGGGCTGATGCACAACCCTTCCCCTGGACCGGGCTGATGCACAACATCTCAGCTCCAGCCCCTGCCTCTCTCCCGGGGGGTGCCCACAAGAGGCCCATTTCCAAGGGTCTCCTGTCAGGGAAGCTGCCCCAAGGCCACACACACAAAAAGACCGGAGCTGCTAACGCGATCCATTGTGGTGGTGAGGGAGACCAGAAGGCCTCAAGCTACAGGAAGCTGAACCCCACAGGCGTCCGTCACTAAAAGAGCTGTAGGATTTTTGTCCAATTTGTCCTTACAAAGGTGGAGGGACTGCTGGGAGGGGCTCTCCCAGGCATGGAAGACAGGACACCTCCAGCTGAGGGCAGGCAGGCAGGCAGGCAAAGAAAGGCCTTGAATGACAATACCGCCAACCCAGCCCCCAGAGGGGTTGACTGTGGCAGAGGAGGCAGCTCTCAAAGCCCCCTCCAGGGGAGGGGGGCTCAGTCTGCCAGGAGGGGTTCGGGTGACGCCCCACCCAGTCCCACGCCCCTCCAGAAGTCTCTGCGACCTGGGAGAAAACACTCTTCCAATCCCGGAGGAGCCAGGCCCAGTGGCAGCTTAGGTCCCTGCAGATGCCCAACACCCTCCACCCCAGCCCCCCTCCCTGTCGCTCCCCCCCCCCACCAGCCCTCACTTCACCAGCACTGACTTGGGCAGAAAGGGCTCCGTGCTGAGGTCTCCACGATGGGAAGACAGCTTTGGGGGCGGCGGCTGCCCCGGCGGCTGCTGGTGAGTGCAGGGCCCCGAGGCGGAGGCGGAGGCAGAGGCTTTGGCTGCACCTCGGGGCAGGCTGTAGAGGTAGACGGCACCGATGACCAGCCCAGCGCCCAGGGCGAACAACGGGTCAACGTGGAAGCCAAAGAGGCGGACGGAGGCAACAGTGGACAGCACGATGGACAGGGAGGTGGCGAAGCCCTTGAGGATGTTGTCGGCGTACTTAACGACAACAGCCACCAGCAGCCCGCCGAAGGCCTGGTTGAGTACCACGCCCCAGACAGCCGGCGTGTACCCGAAAAAGAAGCCGCGGCGGGCCACGGCGGTGCCCTCGGCCCACCAGAGCCCCACCAGGCCCAGCGCCGTGCCAAAGAGGCCCAGCTGCAGGTTGCGCAGCCACACGGAGCCCGAGCTGCCCTTGAGGATCTTCTCGAAGTAGACGCCCGCGAAGCCCGAGGACAGACAAGAGGCCACAACGGCCGCTAGGCCTGCCCCGGGGTTCTGATCCAGTGGCCGAGGGCCGCCGCCGCCGGCTTGCTGTGCCTGGACGATGGCGACACCCGTGAAGAGGAGCAGCAGGGAGGCCCACTGCAGCCGGGAGAGGCTGCGGTTCAGCATGAGCACGGAGAACAGCGCCGTGGTCAGGATCTTCAGCTGGTACGTCACCTGCGTGCGGCATGCAGGCGGGAGGCACTAAGGGCTGTTCCCCGCTGCCCTCCCCCATGTGCCCGGCTGGAGGGACAGGGCGGGGCAGGTGACCATAAAGCTACCCAGCCCTTTGCCACTGACTGGCAAGGCCGCCAAACAGCCCTGCGGTGCCTCCCAGAAAGTCCACAGCTCCGCAAGGAAGTCCCGGGTCACACCCAAGCCCGCGTCCCAACCCCGTTTTCCGGCTGTGTGATGAGGAACAAAGCACCTGCCCCGTCTCGGCCCAGACATCGCCATCTGTAAATATAGCTGTTGTCTGTGAACCAGCTCATGCAGCAGGTGAGTGGACGAGTGACAGGCTCTCTGACGAGGGCGGGGAGGGGGGGGTCTTGATAAATAGGTGCTGATGCAAGCAAATCAGCCACGATGATACCGTCGGCAAACATTGACACAGTGTCCGCTGTGTGCTAGTGTGGCTCTGAGCACGGCACATGAATCTATTCGTTCAGGGCTCTCGCAGATGAAGTGGGCGCTATTGTAACGTCCGATGGGAAGATGGGAAAACTAAGGCACAGAGAGGTGAAGTGACTTGCTGGAGATCACACAGCTGGGAAGTAGCAGAGGTGGGATTTGGACCCAGGGAGCCTGGCCCCAGAATCCAGGCTCTTTAACCGTTTTCCAAGGCGGCCTGCAAACAGCCAAAGGCCCACCTATTGCCAACCAAGGGCTCTTCCCAGGTATTATTATTTCTTTTAGCCGTCCCAGCACCCTGGTGAGGAGGCAATCCCATTCCCATTCCCAATTCTCACAGATGAAGAAAGTGAGGTTGAGGGAGAGCCAAGGACATTTCGAAGGTGACACAGCCCCAGCTCTCTGCAGCCCTCCCTCGTCAGCCTCCTACCTCCCTGACCCCAGCTGATCCCTCTGAGGCCACGCTGGGCATGGGGCTCACCTGGAAAGTGGCAGCAGGCAGGTTGGAGATGGCAACATACTGGAGGTTATTCTGCAAGGTGTAGATGAGAGAGGGCACCGCGAGCTTGAGTGTGTCCACATACTGCACCAGGACAGCCTCGTGGAGGAAGAGCGCCAGGTGTTTCACGTTACCTGGGGTGTATTGGGGGGTGGGGTGGAGGACAGCCCTCTTTAGCACTGAAGATCCTCTGAGGGCCAGGACTGGACCCAGTCCTGTGTCTCCCCACCACGCTGACTTCCTGAGGGCTCGAATGAGGCCTGTGCTCTCAGTTTCCCCACATCTCCAGCAGGCCTCTTGGCTAGCAGTTTCATGGACACAAAACAATCGTCCTTAACTCTGCGGCTGAGGCTCACAGACTGTATTCACTCAGCTTATATTCAGGGCAAGCACTCAATACCCGTCTATCCAGTGAAATCGTCAGCATGAACTAGCTTGTGAAGTAGAGACCTTAGGCGTATGAATGCAAGGCTGCTGACCAGAGGGGAAGTTTGAGACTCGACTTTGACACTCCTCCTAGCTCCTTACCGGCCCTCAAGCTGCCTGAGGGCAGGGGCCATCTCCCACTCTGTCCGCCAGACAAACAATGACACAGTGACACAATGATGTGGCCGCCCTCGCCACAGGGAAGAGTGGAAGCTGGACTAGTTAGCAGCCAAGTCTGGTTGGGACCTGCTCCCACCAATACACAAGAACACCTTCCTGGAGAGTTAAGGCCTCTGCAAAGCTCACTGCACTTTTTTGCAGTTCATCTTCTCTGGGAAAACCCCCACAACTCTGCACAAGGTTATCACAGGGACCTCGTGCTGAGGGCTCGTTCGCAAAACCCCGTCCTGGCCCTTCACAGCCTCAATCCCAGGAGTAACAACCAATCTCGAACCCCTTAACCCCAATTCTCTGGGCCTAGGGGTTTGGGGGTTGGACATTTTGCAGGCATCAGAAAAGTAACGTGGTAGATCGAGCACATCCTTCACGTAACACGCCCACAGACAGGGGGCTGCGCACCATAACCACACATATTCATATCTCTGCGGCGACTTGTGTAAATGTTCACACCAAATGAGAAAAATTAAAAAAAAAAAACCAAAACACAGATATACAAATAGCCCTACATCGCGTCAGGCCAAGTTTTACCACAAAACTGATTTAAGGAAAAAAAAAAAAACATGGGGGAGGGGTTGAAAGTGTAGATCTGAGGCGAAGGCCTGTGGTTAAGGCTGTGGCTCTTGGTTTCTCCCCATTTAAAATATCAGCCCCCCGAGGGCAGGATGCAGCCTGCCCAGCTAACACAGCCACCTCCATAGCCAGAGCAGGGCCTGCCACAGTGAGCACTGGAAGTGTCTCACAATCAACTGAGAACAGAGCAGACGATGGACCTTGAGGGCATTATGCTAAGTGAAAGAAGTGAGACCAAGAAAGACAAATGATTTCACTGACTCCTGGAATCTAAAAAACAAAACAAACAAACAACAAAAATAGACACAGACTCCTAGAGAACTGGTAGTTGCTGGAGGGGAGGGGAGTGGAAGATGGGCGAAATAGGCGAAGGGGGTTACAAGGTACAAAGTTCCAGTTATAAAAATAAGTAAGTCACAGGGATGAAAAGTACAGCACAGGGAATACAGCCAATAATATGGTAATAACTTTGTATGGTGACAGATGGTGACTGCGCTTATCATGGTCAGCACTGTGTAATGTAGAGAACTGTTGAATCAGTATGCTGTGCACCTGAAACTAAGATAATATTACAGTTGACCAGTGAACAGCACAGGAGTTGGGGCACCAACCCCCCACATAGTTAAAAATCTGCATAGAATTTTTGATTCCCCGACCCCCAAACTTAACTCCTAATAGTCTACTGTTGGCGGGAAGTCTTACTGAGAACACAGAGCATTTTCTATGTTATATGAATTATACACTGTATTCTTACATTAAACTAGAGAAAAGAAAATCATAAGGAAAATACATTTTCAGTACTGTATTTATTAGAAAAAAAAATCTGCATCTAAGTGGGCCTGCACAGCTCAAACCCGTGTTGTTCAAGGGTTAACTGTATATGTCAACTATACTTCAACTTAAAAAAAAAAGAACAGAACAGAACAGGTGGGTTCCCAAACTGCTGCCTCCCAGGGCCCTGGAGCTAATGAGTGGGCAAGATTGTTTTCTTCAGTGTAAATACTGAGAGCAGAGCTAGAACATACATCTGTATCCTTTACACAGGCAAGGCCTTTATTTTTTTAAAGCTTTATTTACTTACTAGAGTGTGCGTGCACACGAGCAGGGGGAGGGGCAGAGGGAAAGGGGGAAATCTCAAGGCAACTCCCCGCTGCTGAACACAGAGCCCAATGCCGGTCTCGATCTCATGACCTGAGCTGAAATCAAGGGTCAGATGCTTAACTGACTGAGCCACCTGGGTGCCCCAGCAAGGCCTTTATAGAGAAACAATTGGCGGCAACGTTTTAAAGCAGGCCTTTAGGGAGGTGTTTAAATTAGTAGATAAATCCAACTTCTAGGAAATACAGGGGGTAGAAGAACACGTTAAATGATACCACAAGGAGGCAGCCAGCAAAATCCAGGCTGTCCAAAGTCTCCAAGACAAACGACCTGCTGCTCTCTTCAAGAAATTAACTGCAGATCACAAAGAGCTGGGGGGAACCCTGAGGTTAACAGACCTAGAAGACATCAACCAACTGCAAGGCACTGACCTTATATAAACCTGACTGAAACAAATTCTTAAAAACTTTTATATTTGAGAAACCATTGTAAGTGTGAACACTTGACTGGATATTTATTTTATTAAGTTTAAAAATTATGGTTCATTTTTTGATGTATGATTTTTAGATATTGCAGTTATTTCTTTTTTAATGTACCAAAATATTTATTCCAGATAGTAAGGTGGGGGGCGGGGTTACTTCAAAACACTACTTACTTCATGTGGGACACACTGCAGTATAAGGCAGGGGGTGAGTTGGTAGGCAGACATGTAGATTGGCAGTGAGTGGATTATCACTGATGCTGTTTAATGGCAGAGGGGCCATGAGTTGACAACTGATGAATCTGGGTGATGGGTACACGAACATTTTATTATTTTGTTATTCTCTCTGGGTTTGTATATGCTTGAAATGATCCATAATGCAAAGTTAAAGGGAAATAAATGAACCACCCTGTAAGGGTCACCGGCTACCTTATGGGCACAGACCATTTCACTCCTACAGTCCACACAGGCCAGCTTCCAAGGCATTAGGGGTATAAGAGTGTGGCTGCAGCTACTCATAGCTGGAGGGACCAGGAAGATTAGCTGCACTTACACACTCCCCAGGCGGTTGCAGACACAGTGATACAGTGCTATTACCCCAGCAAACCCTCCATGTGGGCCTGGGTGTACACGCCCACGTGCGCGCCCGCGCAGCCACCCACGCCCGCGCGCGCCCACGCCCACGCCCAGTCCCGCCACTGCCCCCAGTGCATGCCCCCTTGCTGGCTCATACCCCTCTTCTGTGCGAAGAGCAGCAGCAGGCAGGTGAGACCTTTGAGCACTTCAGCCATCACCACAGCAGTGGTGGCAAAGAAGCGGTCCCCAGGCAGTGTGCGGGCGTAGCGGATGCTGAGGATGAGGGAGGCATTCTGGACCACCAGCACGGCTAGGGATATGTATTTGAGGCGCCGGTGAGCTGTGGGAAATGGAATGAGCAAGGCGAAGAAGGGGTCAGAAGCTGCTGGGGCACAGCCACACCACCACCTTCCCCCCCACTCCTTTCTCAACCAGGACCCTCCTAGCCACTGCCACTTCCTCCCTCTGCCTCCCTGTCCTGACCCCAAGGAGGGTCTGACTCCCAGCCACTTCTACTGCCTCAACAGGCAGGAAGAGCCACAAAGGAGGAAGTGGGCCTCACCCTGTCCAGCCCATACCCGGAATCCTTTTGCGGTATCAGGAAATGGCTGGAGCAGGTGCCGGGACACACTCGGCCCCCTCTCTCCCTCCTCTGTGTGAGAAGCAACTCACCCCAAGACAAAATACCAACCACATTCTCAACATTTATTGAGTGCTAACCATCTACCTATCACTGGGGTAAAGGATTTATGTGGATTACCTCAGCAGACCCCTACGTTGCTCTGATCTCTGAGTGAGCTACAAGGATTCCATTATGTGGGTGAGCAAACCGAAGATTTATATGAAATGATGCTTCTATTTAATGAGGGGTTGTCCTACGTAAAGAATGATACCTCAATACAGGGAATGAAACCACTATATAAGGCATGTCCACCCCCTAAAGAATGGTCTCTCTCCCATCTAAGGTATTATTCCATCCCCTCACACTAAGAATGGTCTCTCCCACTCCTGCCTTCTGTGACCACCAGAGTCCCTCCGACACAGAATGGTTTCACAAACTTAAGAAATAACTCCTCTACAGTCCCTAGGCTTGAACCCCGTATAATAAGTGGTTACTGCACCAAGAATGGTCTGCTTCCCTCGAGGACATAAGGAAATATTTCCCTATACTTCATATGGTCCAGTCATCCTCCCACCACCGCACCTCCCCTACCTCCAGCCAAGGAATCATTCCTTGTTCTACTCACACTCACAACGAACTCTCCCCGCTATAAAGAAGGGCCCTGCACCCTTAGAACGTCTTTTCTCTGCCATGTAAGGAAGGACCCTCCCACTCCAACATACAATGAACTCTACCACCATTAGGAAGGGACCCCCAGGACGGTCTTATCTCCTTATAACGGACATCCCAATCCTCAAAATGGACCCTCTAAGTCAGGTAGGGAAGGACCCGCCTCACCCTAATTCACAGTACCCCCTACTCCTTTATAAGGAAGAAACCACCACCCTCAGAACAGCCTCTCTCTTCTATAAGGAAGAACTTTCCCACCCTCAGAATGCTCTCTCCCTTCTCTAAGGACGGACCCCCCACACACTCAGAATGGTCTTAGCCTCCCCCGGACTCCGAATGATCTCCACTCTCCATATGGGGAAGGGGACCCCCATCACCCTCAGAATGGTCTCTTCCCCGCCTTCCAAAACACTCACAGTGGGCCGTTCCGTCCTCCCTCCCCCACCCCCCGCCACACACACATAGGTCGGTCCATACGGGATGCTCCCTCTCGCTTGAGGGAGGAACCTTCCTGACCCCCCCCCCCAGCGATCCCGACCCTCGCCCGGCCGCCGCCTGCTCGGCCACGGCCTGTCTCACCCGCATTCGCGGTTCCAGGCTCCAACGCCCCCGCGGAGACCGCCCCTGGCCCAGCCGCCACGGTGGAACCGCCAGACCCAACCGCTGCCATGTTGGCATCTGCCTGGCCCGTCCCCTCGGCAACAGCAGGGCACTTCCGTGTCCGTCACTTCCGCTTCCGGGCCTCCGGGGTCGGAGTGGAGCGAGGGAGGGGCTGGCCAGAGCCGCGGCTTTCCCGGTCTGCTCCCGGACAGTGAACCTAAGACCGCGGCCTTGGGATTTCCAGATTCGGTAGGGATGGGGAGACCCAACACGCGGCCGACTCAGCCTCTTGCTGTCTCTACAGAGCCTCATTGGTTCATTCCCGTTACTAGACCCGCCCTCGTCTTCATTGATCCCGCTTTCCAGATCACCCGCCCATCGTGTGTCCTTGTCTCATTGGTTCAGCTGATCCTTTTCTATCTCGGCTCTTCATTGGCATCTTCTACAGATGATCCCGCCCTTTCCGCACCAAAACTCCTGGGTACCTTCGTGATTGGACTGAAGTTCCTCTTTACCCCACCTCCCGGCGAGGCCCCGCCCCCTGGAGAGCCCGCAGGCGTCTGGGAGGTAAAGGAGACTGAGGGGGCGGGGCAGGGGAGGGCCAGGCGGGTAACCTAGCTGTTAAAAGCGGAGCAGTTAGCCCACACGAGTGAGAAGGTGCTGGAGACGTGAGACTGAGAGTAGGGAGGTTAAGCGAGCCCCTATTGAGGGAAAAGAGTACGAAGGGGCCAGGTAAGCCACCAGATGAGAGGCTTTCAGGTTAGCTTTGTGAAAGCGGGGCAAGAAAGGGTACAGCTGAGGTCAGGGCGGGTACGTCAGGAGGTGAGGAATGAGAGATGAGAGGGATGAGCAAGAGAGCAAGGGAGAGGTGAAAAAAGGTAGGGGCAAAAGGTAAGTAGGCATGACTTACACCCTGGATGTTATTAGGAAACATGGAAGGGCTGGGAAGGTTTCCGTCAGTGCCCAACCCCGGCCCCTCCCTCACCGGTGCCCTGAAAGGCCTTTTCTCCCATGGGAGAAGAGCTTTATTTCCTCCAACGGGGTTGGGGGAGGCAGTTTTCTCTGGCCGAGCAAGCCCTCTGACTGGGGACATGTCCCAAACGTCTTCAGTGTCTAGAGTATCTCCAACGGAGCCCTTCTGCACATCCTGGGAGCTACATAAGAGCTGGAATGGGGGAAATCAAGTTTTTCTTTGTAGTCCTGCATAGACGAACCCATAAAAGAGCTTTAGGACAGTATCACAAGGCTAAGGCTTCCCGAGAGCAGAGGAGCGATCCAGCCCACCTCCCTCTTGGCTCAGCATACAGTAGATGCTCCATAATTGCCTCACTGCATCTACAAATGGCCAGTCGCTTCTGATTCTATAACATTTATCAAATAGTGTGTTTCCTTGCTTCATCTACAAATGGCCAGTCACTTCTGATTCTATAACATTTATTAAATAGTGGGTTTCCACACATGGCTTTTTTAAATAATCCAGGCAGGGGGAGAAGGAAGAGGAGGACACAGTTGGAGCTCCCCTCCCACCAATACATAAGTATTTACATTTCAGCAACTGGACAATCCTGGCTCAGAAGGAGGCAGCAAGAATCCGAAAAAGATGGAGGGGGGGCGGGGCCCAGGAGAACAAACAACAAGAATGATTTCCCCCACCCCATCCCCCAAAAAACCATCCACCCCATCCTAGCGGACTCTGGTGGTGTCCATCTCCCATTCCTTCCCAAATCATGGAAGTAGGGTTCTCCTCACCAGAATAAGAGCACTTGGGATAACAGAGTAGGGTCCCCTCACCAAAAAATAAAAATAAAAATAAAATAAAATAATAATAATAATAAAAAATAATTAAAAAAAAAAAGTCTTGGGATAACAATAGGGCATTACCTCCCCCAGAATAAGCAACCCTGGGCTGAGGTAGGCAAGCAGCTTGACTGAATATAGGACCCTGGGCTAGGAGAAAGGGTCCTTTTGTTAAAATAAGAGCTGCTGGGGCATTGGAAGGAAAGCACCCTTGCCCAAGTGAGAGCATTTGAACTAAGTGTGTGTGGTGGTAGCAGGAGGTGCCAGTGTAGGGGTTACAACTCATCAGAATAAGAGTCCTGGGGCTCAGAATGGAAGGAACTTCAACCAAATGAACACCCTTAGCAAAATGAGAAATAAGGAAGTTCCCCCCGCCCTCCAGAATAAGAGACCATAAGTTCTGGGAGGAAGGCTCCTTAGCAGGATTGGGATGGGGAGTGGGCAGACTTGGCTTATGTCTCCTGACCCCTGATCCCCAATCTCTGACCCTAGTAACACTGGATTTTTAATGACCTGTATAACCAGGTCAACAGATGTCCATCTATCCCTGTGGCATGCCATGGGACGGCTATTCTGACTAGCGGGGGCCTGGCTAGGACTAGGGCAGCAGGGACCAGGCCAAAGGGGTGGGACCCCCCTTGGGGGCATTCAGGGGTGCATCCTCAGCTGGTGTCTGCATCCAGGGGTCCAGCAGTATCTCCTCCAGTGAGGGACGGGCAGAGGGTTTGGGGGCCAGGCACCGGCGGATTAGGGCACAGCAGTCTGTAGATCAGAAGCACACAGAAGATTAGCAGTCAGTTGGGGACACTAGTCCCTGGGTAGGATGGAGTCCACTGAGCTAGGACTGGTGAAGGCCTCACCTGGGGACACATGGGCAGGGAAGTGGAGCTCAGCCTCCAGAATCTCCTGGTCCCTCTCGAAGGGAATGTCCCCACACACCATGTCATAGAGGAGGATACCCAGCGACCAGACAGTGGCTGGGAGTGCGTGGTACTGGTGACGAGAGATCCACTCTGGGGGGCTGTACACCCTTGTCCCTGCACATAAGCCAGAGATTAGACCACTCCCCGATAATGCCGTTCTCCCACATCCCCTCCCCAGGAAGTATGGTCCCCTCACCAGAATTAAGAGAACACACTACCTGAGCAGGGTCCCCTAACCAGAAGAGTTCTTTAAATATAACAGTAGAGTCTCATCATCAGAAAAAGAACAGTTAAGGTAACAGCAGAGTGGCCTCAACAGAATAAAAACTCTTAAAAGTAACAGTAGGAGCCCTTTACCAGACAGAAAAGGAACACTCAGGATAATAACACAATCCCCTCACCAGGTCTGGGCACTGTCAGAAGATGGACTTTAGCAGAGGACAAGGCTTGAGAGTCCCCAATATTAAAACTCAAGAACCTTATAAAGGTGCAATATAGATCAAGGAGCACAGACCACCCCAGCCTGGAGGTCAAAGATCAAGGGACTATAACGATAAAAGGTAACCCACCCCCATTGAGATTTAGCGAAGACTTACCATCAAAATCAGTGTAGGGTTCATCATGAAGCAGGGCACCAGAACCAAAATCAATGAGTTTGGCACAGCCCCGGCGGAGATCCATCAGGATGTTCTCATCCTTGATGTCACGATGGACAACTCCACGAGCATGGCAGTGCCGAACAGCTGCCACTACCTGAGCAAACAGGCAGCGGCTCCGGCCCTCGCCTAATGGGCCCTGCTCTGTGATGTAGTCAAAGAGATCCTGGGCAGGCAACGGCCGTTCAAGGACCAGCATGAAGCCTTCTGGTGTCTCAAACCAGTCAAGCAGGCGGATCACACCAGGGTGCCCACCGCCTGCACCCACCTTCCATAGCAATGCGACTTCCAGTGGGCATGTGGCTGAGTCTGACTGTGGGGGGGAGGGAGAGAGAAAAGAGAACAAAGACGTCAGGCCAGCAGCTCTGAGGCAGACTTCTCGCCTGAACTTAAGTCATAGCCCTTCAGCCTCCTGACTGTGTGGCCTTCAGCAACCCACTTCTGTCCCTGAGCCTCAGTTTCCTCATCTTAAGGGCTCAAACAAAGCCACTGGAACAGTGGTTTGAGCCAAAAGCCTATACACATCTGGCATATTATAGGAGCTCAGTGAATATTTCAGTAAGTGAGTCTGTTTAAGGAAAAAAAAAAAAGGCCTTCTTGAGGCACCTAGGTGGCTCCGTCGGTTGAGCATCTGACTCTGGGTTTCAGCTCAGGTCCTGATCTCATGGGTCGTGGGATCAAGCCCCACGTCGGGCTCCATGCTCAGCCCGGTGGGAGTCTGCTTCAGATGCTCTCGCTCTCTCTCCCTGTGCCCCTCCCCCCGACTCTCACGTGCGCATGCACTCATGCTCTTTCTGAAATGAATAAATAAAATCTTTTTATTTAAAAAAAGACCTTCTGCTGAAGAAGCAATTGATGAACACTATATTATGTAATAGTGTATCTTTTGTTCACTGGCATCTCAGAAGAGATTAGAACGGTGCTTTACATACAGTGGGTGCTCAATAAATGCGTGTTAAATAGCTGAAAGCACTTTATAGCACAGTCTGGCACAGAGTTAGCACGCAATAAATACTGTTATTGTATACTGGTTTGTCTGTTTTGTTCACTGACTATAACAGTGCCTGGTAACAGGGTAGGGCTTAATACATATTTATTAAATAGGTAAAAGCAATTAGTAGAAAAGGACCTGGCACAAAATGAGCTCTTAATAAATGTAATATTTTGCCAAATGCATAAAATTATGCCTGGCACATAGTAGGTGCTCAATATACATTTGTTAAGTAGCTGAAAGTGATTAATTGCAAAGGAACAAAGTAAGAACTCAATAATATTATGTGATGTTTTGTCTGTCACTAAACATCTAGAACTGTGTTGAACTCAAGTACTCAGTGGGACTTGGAACACAGTAAACTTTGATGATGAAGCAAAGCCTGAGACACACAGTGCTCAATAAAAGGCATAAATGCTTGGCCACAAAAGCCGCCCCACGCTGGAAGCCCGGTGCGGGCTCCTGGACAGCCAGAATCCGCCTTCCTGCCTGAGGTGGGGCCCTCTCCCGGCCAGTCCGCTGACTAGCACAGCCACAGACAGGTTTTCTCACGGTGATGAAAATTTCGCTACTGCGCAGGCGCAACTTCTCCCTCTGGGTCCCACAGCCAGCGCAGGCGCAGTCTCCCCCAGAGTCCTCCAGGGGGCGCTCCCACACCTACAACTTGCCCAGACCCGCCCTGTTGTCCGTTAGCGTTCCAACGGCCGAAGAGAAGCAGTCACCGTCACCATGGCAACCAGTGACCTATGCCCCTCTTTCCCCACCAGCATGCCCTGCGGGCAGCCCCTGAGGCAGTGTTTGGAGGGAGGAGGAGAAAGGAGGGTTGGAGGGGGAGAATCCAGGGCCCTAGGGGAGCTGGGGTGAGTCAGAACTGTATGGAGGTGTGGATGTCACCACAGGGGAGTAAACACAGGCTGGTAGGAGTGTTCTCCTCACCGTTACAGGGCCCAGGGAATCATACAAGCCCGAGAAAGGCAAGGGGTAGATAGAGTCCATCTTCAGAGATGGCGTCGCCAGGTCAGGGACTCCAAAGATACTCACCAAGGGGGACCAGCCCAGCACACGATTCCGGGGGATCACTTTGATGGCCACCTGGAGAAGAGGGCTGAGGTGAGGGGGCCAGCAGACGACCCCCACACCCCTCCCAGTCTTGACCCTCACCCTAGTCTTTCTGGTGCCAACCTCGCTACAGCACAACCCAAAATGAGCTGGAGCTTCTCCCCTGCCCTCCAAGTCCCCAGAACCAAGTTCACCTCTCCCATCATCCTTGGCCCTGGGCTCTCTCTTCTCAGGCTTCAGGACCCCTCACTCCAGATCCTGGGCTCTGAATTTCCTAATACCCCAAGCCCTCAATCTTCCCATCCAGCTCCAAGACACCCCAACTCTGTACTGGGGTCCTGGTCCTAAGGACTCCACGCTGGACATCTGCCCTCGAAATCCCCCAAATCTCAGCTCTGGGTCTCTACCTTCCCACACAGATACACATCCCCTGGATCCCAGGGTCTAGAGTCCTCACGACCCCCACTCCTCAGTCTCACTCCCTGGACCTCCAGCATCCCTGCCCTGAAACCCACCCCCCACATACCCACCTGGATCGCCACACACACAAACAAGCGCGCGCATGTGCGCGCGCTCGGGCACCCCCACCAACCCGGATCCTGGTCCTCATGACCCTACCACGCACACATTGTCGGCTCATCCCCTGGTCAATCAGCATCCCCACCTCGGGACTCCCGCCCCCGCCACACGCACACAACACACACGCACACACGCGCGCGCACGCACACACACACACGCACACACACACACACACACCACCCCTGACCCACCCAAGACCCTCGTGGTTGATACCTGGAGTCGGTCTGTGACGCGATGTCCTGCGAAGACGGTACCAAAGCCCCCCTTACCAAGGAGGGGGCCGAGTCGGTACTCGGCCTCGAACGCTTCGCGATCTTTGCCTCCTACGCAGGCGGAGGCGAGGAAGTCAGGGTGGCTGCGTGCGGAGCCCGGCCGCGACCCCTTCCCCCCTCCCCCCGCAGCGCCCTCAACCACTTAAGCCCGCCCGGCCTAGTCGCGGTAGGGGAGCCTCGCTCACCTGGCGGCGGCGTGGGGGTCACGGGGGCCACCGGGAGCCCTTGCAGAGGCTTAGTCAACATGGAGGTGGTGCTGCGCAGATTGAGCCCGCTGAGCCCGCAGGGCGTGGATGCCCGGGGTAGCGAGGCTGGGGAGCCAGGACTTGGGGGCGCCAGGGTGGAAGGCAAAGAAGCTGATGGCCCCAAAGCGCCCGCAAAACAGCGCAACGTTAAGATTCGACGCGCGCGCCAGCCCCAACGCTACTGAGCCGGGGCACGCGCCTCCCGAGAGAGTCGCCCCGGGCGACAGCCCCGCCCACTTGGCTTTGATCAATCCGGACGCGGCACCTGCTGTACCCCAGCCAATCGGAGCCAATCCTTATTTGCATACCACCCTCAACGCTTCAAGTACCCCCTCATGCAAATACATGCCCGGATCTTCCGCGGGGGCCGGGCCCGCATGCAAATGTGAGGGGCGCGCGCGCGAAGAGGAAACCGGTTCTGGGAATCCCTTTACAGCAACCGCATTTGTTTTGGTTGTTGCGCGGGGTTGTTTTTATATATGTGTGTGTATGTGTATATATAGATATAAACTTAAAAAAACCGCACCGCCTCCTTTCCTAGGAAGTTGGTTTGCAGCCGCTGCTTCGAGATTAGCGCGGAGATAATGCCAGGCCGGGCTTCTAAGAATCCGGGCCTGTGGCTACCCAGGACCCTGTCTCCAAAGAGTGCTCCTCACCCAGGACCAGAGCCCTCGAGGCGACCAGCGGCCTCTGCCCCAAAACTGAAGCCGGGGATCCTGGAAGAACCTGTCCAGCTTCCAGGGATGGATAACTCCCCTACCACTGCGGGAGACAGCGTTCCCATGCCCTGAGGCGGAGGCCTGTGGGGTGTTTTGGAGCCCTTAACCTGGACAGACCTGGCTAGGTCTGGCCGCGAGCCTACTCAGCACATCTGGAATCTGGAATGGCAGAGGGAAGTGGATCTCGGGTGGGCGGGGGTGCTAGCGAGCCAGAGTGATGGTGGCTTGGGGGTATGCTTCCCCAATGACAGAGACAGGGACTGAAAAGGCTCAGGTGGTAAAACACCCTCCGTCACAAATTTGGGAAAAATAGTCAATCCTCACGCCGCAGGAAGACAGAGATGCACTCAAGACACACAGAAGTACCATGTGATATACACAAAACCTATACAGACACATTCATGTAAACTTGTCCTAGACACACATGCAGACATCTACTGTCACAGACTGACATCCACAGGCAGGCATGCTGCCAGTTATGTCCCGGAATGACACCCAGAGAAACACTGTTACAGAAAGACAGGCACTCCAGATTCACATGGACTGACGTTGCCAATGACACAGAAATGTCTTGTCAGACACACCACCAGAACTTGACACAAAGATACCGGCACCATCAGACATGCACTGTCAGAGGAAGACTTGTACTGTCCCAGAAATGAGAGACCTTGAGTCTGTCACAGGAAGACACACAGATGCTCCAGAGACACACAAGTACTGCTCCACATACTTATTCGACAGAGCCACATAGATAGGCAGTGTCACAAAACAGACGTGGATAGACCCCCCCCCCCACACACACACACCAGCAAACATGCAGCGTTGTCACTGAAACTGTCCGGAAATAGCTACCCAGAATCTGTCACAGGAATACAAACGGACATCCATGCGCTGTCACAGACAGACCCACGCAGACACACACTTATCTCAGAAACAGACATAAACTGTCAGAGTCCCACACTCGGTCACCATCTGACACACCTGGAAACAAGCCCTCATCACACACACTAGACACTGCAAGGTGCATGTGAAGATTGGAACTCACCAAAAGTCGAACGCACACACACATACACACACACACACACAACACCCAAAAAGCAAATACACACATGTACGCTCCCTTATTCATCCAGTATTTATTAGGGGTCTACTGTAAGCCTGCCAGGCCCCAGCAGGGGTGCAGATATTAGAGATACACGGATTAAGTCAGGCATCACAGCCCTTGCCCAGGAAGTGAATCACAGAGTTATTGGGGAAGGAGTAAAGACATTATCTGTGGATAGAGGTGAGAATATGGATGGGGTCACACAGGGCTTCTCCGAAGGTGACACTCTACCCATCTTGAAGGACAAGGTTGGGGGCTCAGGATGGGGGAAGGGCAAATTCCAGGCAGAGGCCAGTGAAATTGGACAGGGCAGCAAGAAGAGGTAGGCAGGGGCCAAACAGTGTAAAAAACTCAACATAAGGTAAATAAATATCTGCTAACATTTGGGCTCTCAGAACATGCCAGGCACCAGGCCATCAGACATTATTTGACCACGTGCATTCTCTCTCATTGCTCACAACCAGAGAGAGCGTGAGGTAGGGTAGTAGACATTAATCACTCCTGTCGTACACATGGTGGGACCCCTGAAACTTAGCCTGTGATTTGACCGAGGTCACAAAGCTAGAAAAAGCCAGAGTGGGTTCCAAACCAACTCTCCAACATGTGCACGCTTGACCAGTGGATTCCACAGACACCCCACAAGATGGCCACTCAACCAGCCATGCCTTCACCAGCAGCACTGGGCATGCATCCTTCCATAGGGACCCCATTGGTGAGGAACAGCAAAACACACTTTTGGCAAGACCTGGGGGCCAGCCATCCTTCTCTGCTTTGGCTTTACCCCAAGGAAAGGCAGGGGCATGGGTGTCAGACGACTGAGAACATGAACAAGAAAGGGTTTAACCATTCCGTAGTTAAACCAGGGAGGCCCCTCCAGTCGATTCCACTAAACTTACGTTGATAAGAAGCATCTGTTGTGCCTTTCCAAAGCATTTCTGCATCAAAGATCACAAGGGAAGGGCAAACGTATATAGGGAAGGAGGCAGGCAAAAAAGTTGCAAGTTCAGTTCCAGCCCTCAAGCTCCTAGTCCTCCGCTCCCACCACACCCCAGGACACAGGCTGGGCAGGCTACGTGTGCCAGTAAGATGGAGCTTACTTGGTGGGAACAGGTCCAGAAGTTGGTTTAGTAAGCAGTGATTCAAAGATGAACAAACTCTGGGCCCACACACAGACCCTACTGGAGAGCATGCAGCCCTCAGAGGTCAAGCCAAGGCCTATGCCATCGCCGCCTCTGCCCAGAGGCCCACCCACCCCGTGCCCCACACAGAACAGAAGCGCTCAGGGGAAACTGACATTTGGTTTTATTGTGCCAAGGACATTACAGATGGTGGATCTTGTCAACACCTGCAGGGCCCGGGTGCCCCATCTGCTGAGGCTGCTCCCACTCCCCACACTCAAATCCTGGGTGGCAGCAGCCACGATCCTGAAAGGTGCCCCCCACCCCAAGACTCCAAAGAGACCGGTGGCGGTGGCGTGGAAGCAGTAGGAATGCAGCGAGGTCAGAGTCTCATTGTCCAGAGCCCACAGGACACCTACCCCCTGCCCCCGCTTGTACTCTAGACCCTGCCCTCCTCCGCAGAGCTGGAGGCTAGAGACGGCAACCACGTCTTTGTGCCCCCTCTGTGCCCCGTGGCCTGCCTGCTCCCAAACCAGAGAGATGCCGCCTTCACAGAGCCAATGCTGTTGTCTACATCATTTTGGATTGGTTGAGTTGATGAAAGTACATTTTAATAAAGAAAAAATTCAACATTGAAGGCTCAGACATTCTTGGGGGTACTGGGAAGGGGGGATTCCCACTTCTTCCTCCCACCTCCCCAACGTCATTGTGGAGGTGGGGTGACAAGTATTTCTGATCTTAGAAGTAATGGGGGGGCAGGGAAACTTTCCTCTGTCTGAGTGTCTCTCCTCGGGGGCTGCCTGGCTGCCAGTTGTTCTGTCTCTGTGTGCCTCTCGCCTACCTTCGGCACCCTTGCCCAAGTCCCCTGTGGAATGCAGGGATGATGCTGTGCAGGGGGCAACAGGGCACGTCAGCTGGCGAAGAGACGGGTGATGGTGGTGGTGGCAGCAGCGATGAGAGGGGGCTCAGGGATGGGCCAGCCAGAGGGAAGTGGGGAGGAGCAAAAGGAGGGGAGAGAGGGAAGAAGGCAAGAGGGAAGAAAGCCAAAGAAGGTGGGGCGGCACCAGAGGGCAGGAGTGGTGGGGGTCGGGAGATGGTCTCCAGTCTCTGGGTCTCCATCAACTCTTGTCTGGGGGTGGATCTCTGTGCATTTTGTTTTTCTTCATACTGTCTAGGTATTCCTGTTGGGATACTGCCAGCACCGATGCTAGGATCTCGTCATCATCCCAGTCGTTCAGACCTGCTGGGCAAGAGGAAGGGGAAAAGGATGATGGAGCACTCCCAGTGCATCTTCTTCTCACCCTTTGCTGATCCCTGGCTCGGGAGAGATCCCATCCAGGCCCCTCTACAGATTTCTCTACAGAGAAGGCTCCTCTGGGCCTATGAAATCCCACACAAATCCCCTCTGGACACATCCCTTGGGCTTGAAAACCTCCCTTTTCCTGGGAAGGTGGCCAGAGGCTCTAGAAGCCCCCTCTCAGGACTTGCTGCTTCTTCCATCTCTCCCTAACTCCCAGCTGGTCCCTGGCCCCTAGACAGAGGAGGCTTACCAAAGGCGGAGGGGGACATCTGCTGAATGAGGGCCCGGCACTCCAGAGCAGGGTAGAGGGACACGAGGGGGGAAGTAGCCCGGTCGGCCCCTGCTGAGAACTGGCTGCTTGTACCT